AAACCAGGGGTGAGCCACCAACAAAGAACGTCTAGTACAGCACTGGAGCGAACACGTCAAGGAACAATAGAAACCAGGGGTGAGCTCACCAACAAAGAACGTCTAGTACAGCACTGGAGCAGACACGTCAAGGAACAATAGAAACCAGGGGTGAGCCACCAACAAAGAACGTCTAGTACAGCACTGGGGCAGACACGTCAAGGAACAATAGAAACCGGGGGTGAGCCACCAACAAAGAACGTCTAATACAGCACTGGAGCAGACACGTCAAGGAATAATAGAAACCAGGGGGAGGGGTTTCACATTCTTGGTTGTAAGTTTAAATAATGTTAAATCTAACATGACCACCAACTTCATGAATATGCGTTTTTGTTTTGTTTGTTTGTTTGTACTTGAATATTTACAGACGTTATAAGAATAGTATTTTAAGTATAAGCTGACGTACAAAAAACGTTTTCCTCACCACTTTTCATTCACTTACCTTTTTAAAACTCCTAGCTGTTCCTCTACGCCTCCTATTCTTCGGTGACAGAGCTTTCTGGGAACGACGAAGTGTAAACTGAGCTGTAATCACTGAAGCGCTCGTTTCTCCACTAGAAGTTGTCGTTTCCACCCTGTCTCTGACGCGGTGTTTGTGTTCTCTAGATACAAATAATTGAAACGTGAACGAAAAAGGAGAACGTCTGAGCTAGAGATGAAAAACGAGTAAAACAAAAACAGAAGGAAAACGGAACGAAACCGGCACACGACCTCTTAGCAACTCAACAGAGTCAACCTCAAGGCAGGAACTAAATGCCCTCGTTTTCTCCCTCCAGCTTGCGTTAAACAGCAGCCGGCACACAGCTTATTATGAGAGTGTCGCTCCGCTCGTGCGGAAAATCCAACTGCGCAAGTGCAAATTGACTCGCTCCAACAGAACAGCAGACCGAGGCCTCTGAAAGTGACGTCGAATTAACGTAGACCCTGAGTAGAAGAACCGTTAGCAACCGAGGACGAGGTGCCTTTGCGACAACTTTTATATCGAAGATAAAAGAAATCCAAGTACGGGTAGTTCCATTTTATTTTTGTCAAACAATTAGTGATGGCACACACACACATAATGAAAAAACAACCACGTAAAAAAAGAAAAAAAGAAATTATCAAGTCCGACCAACAAGATGTCTTCTGATCCTTACTGAAAGTTTCTTGTAAGAATTATTCAGATAACCAAATCAAAATTATCGACATCTTTGTCGTTAAAGTTCACGGTTTTTGAAATTTTGCTTTTACATCTGGCCTTTAAGAAACAGTTGTGATAATCATTCCCATTTCATAAGGGCGAAATAACCCAAAAGGGTTATACAAAATTAATAAGAATCATTTTTGTGTTGATTTTACTGCTTCCAATTCAGTAAATGTGAAGTATTTGAATAAATAGGGAAGGAGGGAAGTTACGTGATGGGTATGCTGTCCGGTCGACAGATGGCACTAGTATCCGCCGAACTCAAGCTCACACGCTGAAAGTATTAATATAGCTGCAATTTCCGAACAATGAAAATGGGTGGAGTTAATATCTGTACGGCAGCTGCTCATGTGAATGCTTAGAAAATGTGGCATTTAGAGTGGTATTAGTATGAAAACAACAATTTACGCCGTTATTATAAAAGAGAGTACACGTTACACTAGGTTTCTGAATTTAAAAAATAAACTTGATGTAGCTTTTAACGCCAAGCCGCCACGAAAGTCTTTCATAAAAAAAAAATCAAAGCTGAAACCCATAGATATAATACCATATATTCTGTATTACTATAAATGACCATATACTGATATTACAATACTTTACACTTTGTACACATTAATGTTTCAATGAGCCACGTCTATTACTGGACAGTTTTCTAACGTTTGAAACACAAGAGATTTGCCGAGAAACGCCTGTTTTCGAGACAGGCTGTATTGCTACGTGAACTCATTTCTGTCTTCTTTTTTTTTATTTTGAAGTGTATGAAGTATATATATATATATATATATATATAGCTTATTTAACGCTGCTTTGAACGTAGTTACCATTTTAACCTAACCCTTCCTCTGTGTTTCATACCTCTAGGGTTATTCTATAAACGGATTTAGGAAAATATAATTGCTTTGTGTTAGATTGGTTCGGTGGTTAAGTGATACTAATACATATTTTTTCCATCTCTAACAAGTTACCCAATTATTCCAATTTAGAAGTGATACACTAGATAGAAGGCAGCTAGTCAACACCACCCACCGCCAACTCTTGGTCTACCCTTTTACCAACGGAAAGTGGGATTGATCGTAACATTATAAAGCCCCCACCGCTGACAGAACGAGCATATTCAGTGACGGGTTTCAAATTCGCGACCTGCAGATTGAGAGTGCCCTAAACTCCAGGCCTCGGCGGGTTTACATAGTGTTAAAAATCGGGTTTCAATATGTAGGAAGAGAACATATTGTCTATTATGTAGCTTTGTACTTTACAACAAACAAACGACCATCTCATTAAAAGTTAATGTTTGCAGTTGTTTCCAATAGAACAGACAAGAGAGGCAAACATAAAAGATTAAATCCAACATTTCGCCCGAATTCCAGTTTTTTTCTCATGTGTTTTAGCACGTGTAAATGGTGGGCCGTTTTACAAGATTACAGCGATAACGGTTGTATTAATTAAGATGGCGAAATAATATTATTAATGACAATCAACCTTTAAACCTTTGATTAAGCGCTTTATTCCCTTATTTACACTATTGTCTTCAAGACCTACATTTAGTGAAATCAGTGGCACGCCCTCTGGTGTAAGGATTATAAAAAAGGGACGCCAGGAAGGAGTGTTTTAAGCCTATTTATCAGTAAAAAAATGAGACAGTTGTGTGTTATATTAGAACTACGCGATGCAGAGAATGGAGAAAAACGTGCAACGGGCATACAAGTAAGAAGAATTAGAAATATAAAATAAAACTTTACCATTGAGAAAAATTATTACTGTACAACTTCCTTACTCAATAGATGTATTCTAATGCCGATTTTATACGATTTTATTTATCAGTACTGATAAAAAAATAAAGTTATTATAATTGAAAATTCCCCTACCTATTTGAAGCCTTGACCCGTTTTATACTTATAAACAATAGTTCTTCACACTTAATTCAAAGCGCATGCTCCTGGTTGTTAATATAAAGTCTCTTTCATCCTAACAATGCCGCAGTTAAAAGATTGAATTGATTATTCCAGGTAAGTATGTAATAATATACTAATTATTAAGTACAACGTCCTTGACTATTGCTCTCGATCTGAACCAATTATTTGTTTTTAATTCATTCACTTCTTGTTGTTTGTTTTTATATATGCACAGGCTATTGATCGTTGATTGGCTGCTAAAGAATTAGCTCACGCACTCGTTGAAACGTCTTCTGATATGCGACGATGTTGTTGAATTGTCCACAGGAGCGAGGAGTCTACAGTACAAGGTGAGTCAAAAATACATCATGCCATATTTTTGTTAGTCCCATAGTTTAGTAGGATACAGTCTGTGCTTGAAATATATCTGCCACACAGGGGAACAGTGAGACTTGTAAAAACAAGCATTTAACCAAATAACGGAATGGGCTGGTACAATTACAATCCCCCGCCCCTCTCTCTTCCATAACTGAATGTGTAGAGTGCGTTTATTGACAAGTAACCCTTCAAATCTGTTTATCTAGATTTTAGGGTGATTCTTTAACTGAATATAAAAATGTATTTTTTTAAAAACACGGCTAACCTACGATTGGTTTATGTTGTTTTTTACTTTCATTGTTTCGCACTGTTTGATGCTAAAAAAAAGCGGGATAGTTGTACTTCTGACACCCCCTATACATGCACCGTGACAACTTCTTTGAAGATGAAAGAGAAATTTATATTCTAGTGAAAATCAAACGTTGCTATAGTTACTCCATAAATTACTAAACTACCTCGTTTAATATTTTAAAGTTCCACAAATCTTTTCTTTCTTTTTCCCTCCATATCAGCGCGTAGGATTTACCACAAGAAATTAACTTCAAACGAGATTATGAACATGTTAACCATTGCTGACTACACCTCATTCATTTAAAACATGTCGGATATACAGAGTGTAATATCTAGATATTATTTATCGTTATTTTATGTTGACTGGTTGTCTTCTCTCTTCCTGAACAGGATTTCGAGGTTAGGGATAGTTATGTCTGGTTCTTGGTGATGTTGACCGGTTTTATTCTCTCTCTGAACAGGATTTCGAGGTTAGGGATAGTTATGTCTGGTTCTGAGTGATGTTGACTGGTTGTCTTCTCTCTCTCTCTGAACAGGATTTCGAGGTTAGGGATAGTTATGTCTGGTTCTGAGTGATGTTGACTGGTTGTCTTCTCTCTCTCTGAACAGGATTTCGAGGTTAGGAATAGTTATGTCTGGTTCTGAGTGATGTTGACTGGTTTTCTTCTCTCTCTCTGAACAGGATTTCGAGATTAGGGATAGTTATGTCTGGTTCTGGGTGATGTTGACTAGTTGTCCGCCATATGCACAGGATTTCGAGGTTTCAGGTAGCTATCTATGCCTGGTGGTGGGTGATGTTGATTGGTTGTTCTCCTTCTGAACAGGATTTCAAGGTTTGGGATAGCTATGCCTGGTTGTGGGTGAGGTTACTGGTTGTCCTCCCTCTGACCTGATTTGGCGTCTAACCCGTGTGTCATATAAAGTGCCATTCAGGTTTAGAATATCGACTTCATGACCAAATAAAGAATTTGTTGAAACTGTCTTCTTCTTTCTCATATTTTCGGCCATTAATTACCTAACCTAACCTAAGATATTAAAAAAGTCCTCCTCGCCTATTGCACTGTATTTGATCCCCCCCCCCCTCCACCTGCTAGTGACTCATCGATAAGTTAGAGGTCACATTGTGGTGGGCACAGTGCAGATAGTCCTTTGTTTACTTTTGCGCTTAACCACAAATACACTAAAAGACTGTCCTAGGAATCATCATTGAGGATCTTTTTACAATAGTTTTTTTTTAACTTGCAAGACAAGTAATAAATGGGAAAATAAATATTCACATTGCAGCATACCTTTGTTAGAATTAAACAATTTCTATTTATGAAGACTATTTTTGAGCGTTTGGGTTAATGTGTGAATTTAGGACAAAGTTAAATCTCCTAAGATGGCTGAACTTCGGAATTACAAACGAAAATGAAGTTAGCAACAAGAGTTCTCAAACAATGATTCAATTCACGTCAATGAGTATAGGTTTTTTATGTGTTTTGATTTACGATATTTATTATACAAGATCCGTTTTATTAATGCATAATTCCTTTTATGTACTGATCTGATTACCTCACTTTGATTAAATGATTGCAATCAACAAGATAGAATTTGGTTTCATTGTTGTTAAGCGCAGAGCTACACAGTGAGCTATCTGTGCACTGCTCATCACGGTTATCGAAACTCAATTTTTAGGCTCGTAAGCCTGCAGACTTACCGCTGAGTCACTAGGGGGCTCAAGATAGAAATCCCACAAAACTGCAGTTTAAAAAGTGGCTTACCTGCATACAGTTAGTTCAATCGACTTTTATTTCACAATAAAAGTAGTGTTACGACAGCGGAAGTCAAGTGATGCTGGTAACACGTAATGAGTTCTAGAAAGATCG